ATTGCTTCTCATATTTTTTGCCTATCTGGGCTTTTCAGTGACGGCTACTTTGCTGTGATCTTATATCGATTTTCTTTTTGAAAAGGCTCCGTTTTCTCCAAATGAGTTACCGTCTGACTCCAACAGAGTTTATAGATCGAGAGAAAATCGAGAATTTATCATTAATACTGTTTAAAAGAAATTTGTCCAAAATCGAAGACAAAATCCAGAGTCATGTACTGTTTGTCTAATCATGACATATCGCAATTACTTTAATAAGATCTACAGATTCTTAAAAATTAACTTATTTTTTTTTCAATTTTCATTTGTATAATAAAACCGGAAACACCGGAACAAAATCTTTGTTAATCACATGAGAGATTGATTAATACTACAATAATAGAAATTATCATAGTTCAGTGCGGCAAGGCGTACGACTCAAGTGCTACGTCTTGCGACTTACTATGCGACAACCGTTCCTTTTAGCAGACGTTCTACTCAGAGCTGATGGACGACAATTAGGGTAGAGAAGGTCGGTCGTCTTTCTACACAACAAAAATAAAATCACCTTTTGTTTTCTTTCTACCAACAAAAGTTATGCCATGATTTTGGATAAAAAAAAACCCGTTGGTATATCGCATCATTACAGAATAATGATTTTCTAAGCGTTGCACCATGTCGAAGTGCCCAGATGATTTTCTAAGCGGCTCTTTCCTATTCTTTAAAACTACCTCGTTACTGACATGTTTAGGCCGTGGTATTCTCAGTATCTTTCTGTAGAACCACATTTTTCTTGTCTCGAGTAAGTGCACACACTCACACGTTTCGAACTTCATACTGAAATTGAGTTTCTCTTCCTCTTGCAGATATTGCAACAACGCTTCCAAAGAGAAAGAAAAATCATTCAGCAATATGAGGAACTTCATTTTTAAAGTTTTTTTTTTTTGTAATAACATTTGTTTTTTTAAATGTCATTTCCTTTCAGAATATAAAAGATCATGGTTCTTCAGTTTCCTCTCCTTTATTAAATTTCATCTCCCCAGCTATGGATTCAATAATAGCTCTTGTATCTGAAAAATAATCATTGCTATTCTCCCCCAAATTGTTAATGCAATATTTACTTCCGAAACAAGGAATTGTTTTTACAAGCCAAAAATTGTTTCGGCTTTATATAATTCATGAAGGGTTGATAAACCGGTAAAAAAAAAAAAAAAAAATCAATTTATCTGAATTTTCATGGCGTTTTGAGAAAAATAGTGTAAGTTTTCCCTTGCATTCTCTACGTTCTTGAATTCTGGGAAATCCGTTTTATAAACTAGCTGTCATCCAAGGCTACAGTGTACAGTTTTCTCTTCTATTTAATCCGTAGTTGGTGGGGGAAGAGATTGTTTCTGCCTTTCCCAATGATAGAACGAAAGATCGATAACAAATCCCGTAAGCAACACCATATCTACTGCAGCTGTAACAGCAGTGGCGTTTCCTGGGCAAGATAGCCTGGTGAGGCCCAACCCTCCTTAGCTAGTTTGAATTCAGTTTTCCTTCCCATAGACTGGTTGCCAACCAATGTTATACTGTACAAGCTATCCTGCTATTTACCCATACCTGGGGAGGGGATGGATTCATACCTTTCCCAAGGGTATTAACACATCATTGAATATAATGAACTCAACTAAAATTCGAACCCGGCTCCCAGGTTTCTAAATCCCAACCGTTATTCATTATTCCACCATCTTTGAACTCAGCTCACCTACTTGACTTTCCGCACCTATAAGAATTATATTCACATCCATTTACGATGATATGGACATTCTGAGATACATTATGAGAAAGCTATGCTTGGAAAATTTAAGGCGTATTGGGGGAAGGAGGCGTAGAAGGAAACAGCGAACAATTTGCCTTATGAGTTTGTGTGAATTGATAGTAGATCAGGGATAGTGCGGAATCGTTGTGTCAAATGTTGCTTCAAGGACGCTGTGGAGCGACATGATCTCCTACATTCTGAAGGGAAACTATATACAATTGATGATGGTAGGGAACATAAACTAGCATTAACCGGTCGTAACGAAAACAAAACAAAACAAAACAAAAAATAACATTTAAAACTTCAAATATCAAATCACTCTTGAAATGCCATATCGAAAAGTATTCACCTGGATTACTCTGGCACAAGGCCAGGGCCGGTGTATACTATACTAAACCTCTCTGGAAGTGCTTTGTGACCCTTGCAATCTTATCAGTATTTGCTTTTTGCTACCTGTATTTACATACGCTACAAATTAAACTAAGCACAACTGACTATAAAGACTCAACAATTTTCGCGGATTTTGACGTCATTCTCGGGTCTTTTTTTCGTTCAAATTCGTGAATGCGTTTTGCTCATGCCAAGTCTCAAAAAAAAAAAAAAAAAACACTATATAAAATTCATTATATTTTATCCATAATGTTGAATGTGTTAAAATTATTCAACTTTTTTAACAAAAATCTCGAGTTTATGTTAAAAATTGCCGCAAAATATTGTTGATTTATTTAAGATGGAATGATCTATAATGACATGTCTGATTTTTATTTAGATACATTGTACATTTTCAATTTTTCTAGTCGAATTGTTCACCTACATTGCATATGATCCATTATTGTACATAATTAGGTTGGAATAAAATTTGTATTTTATATGAATACCAGCTTATGAAAGCTGAGATGTAGTAGAGTGCGGGGGTCGTATCATGGGTAGAGGGCACGAGACCCTTGCACCGGCCAAGGCTACAGTTGTGAAACATTGAGGTCTATGAAACACTAACAATGGTTTGTAAGGTCAATCGCAAACTGTAGTAGTTTTATTTTTTGATTACTATTATGCGTAAAAGCGAACGTGTGAAATTTATTTACATGTGCGTGGATATATTCCTGTCAGGTTTTCATCTCGTGTAAAACATCCCATCCAACTTGATTCCTTTTCAAACAAGGTGAACGTGACCCCTTTTCACACATACCTCTTTCCCAAATCTATTTTCAGTACACACGCAATGATCCTTATCCTACCGTATTACTATCACCGTCCCTCTTATTTTGTGGGTGCGTGTGAGCGTTTCTTTTTTTTTTTTTTTTTTTTTTTACAGACCGAGAATGTTCGGACTCTTTATTTTCGCCTCCGTTTCGTACAGCATTTGTCATTATTAATTTTGATTGATGAAAGAAACTGATAGAAAATATAGATTCTTTCTTTTTGGACTATGTTGTTTGCTTGGGGTTATTTTTGTACCCCCCCCCCCCGAAAAACTAGGGCATCAAATCAAAGAGAAGAGACATACACTTATAGGCAAAAAAAGTTTGGGGCCACTCTCAGAATTTCCAAGAATCGCTTAAAAATTGAAGGCTGCGTACCTTTTTCAAAACTAATTTACGACCTCGTTTTGAACCAGATGGACTTTCTCTTCTTGAAGGATTCTATCATATATTCTACTACTACTACTATTACTACTACTACTACTACAACATCAATAATAATAATAATAGCAGCAACAACAATAACAACAATATTTTTTTACAAAAATGATTAGTGGAAAATGTCATGAAACCATTTCTGACCTTAGATCTCTGGTTGAAACCCAGAAGGAAATGTATATACATCAGAAATCAAAGCAAAACCTAATCTTAGGTGTCTGGGCGGGACCCGGAAGGAAATGTGTACACACCAGAAATCATTTTTTTAAATAATAATAATAATAATAATAACATTAACCTATTACTATTATTGCATAAAGTTTTCTTAGTATTTTAGCCCTTTTGTCTAATCTACCTTGCTGGCTAATGGTAATGTTAGGGCTAGTTGGGGGTAAATTTTAGGTAACCCCCCCTCTAATACACTGGACGCAGTGTACTAATAGGTAACATAATTTCAGCATTCATTGATATATTTTTACGGCTTATCAACCCTTTCTGGGTTATTTAAAGTCGAAACATCTTGGATTATAAGAATAATCCTTTTTTTTTGCGAGTGAATATTGCATACACAATTTCTTAAGAATAACAATGATTTTCTAGATACACGTCATACTATTTTAACCCTTTATCAGTGGAGAAGGATTCATACCCTCTAGTACTGGGAAGAGCGGCAGCAGCAACTGGATTTGAGAAACCTATTTAAGAGAAAGATTCTATAAATTACAACAGTAGTACTAATTGCTCGGTCAATATATATTCAATCTTTCCTTATAAGGAAACGGCTAATATTACCATTACAATATGATTTCATGAGAAACATTTACAAAATAAGGTATTCCATAGTGAGAGAGCTGATGAAAATCGAACCTTTTTTATTTATTGCAAATAAATATAATAATATAGTTAAATGGGTCATAAGAAAAAAGCAAAATATAGTATATTCCCTCAAATCCGGAATCCAGCATATCCGGGCATGATTTTGATGTATATATTTGAACTATTTGGATGATATGTAATTGATTTGAAAGTTCTGTTTTTTTTTGGAAATTTACTTCGAATAATTGCATACGCTCATTTCACCAAAATGACTTGTATTGGTGCAAAAGATGATGGTAATAAGAAGAAAGTATGACAAGGAGACACATTTGCAACAAGATAGCGACGAGATGTGATGAAAGCTGGACTAAAATTGAAAAAGCTATTGAAAATGTTATCAGTTTTATGGAAAGAAAGCCAGCATTCAGCTATGACGATTGCAATAACGCACGCAGAGTTAAAAAGTATCTTTCGTTTAAAAAATTTCAAGAACAAAAGCAAAACCAAATGCGGAAAAAGTTGAGAATGACATTTGAAGAGAAAGAATCATCATGCAACAGCGATTAAAAAATCTTCGTTACATTATTTGTTTTGCATACGTGGCATACTTAATTTAATGAATTTTCATTAAGATTACATAATTTCTTTTTCCTTAAAATCAATTCCGTTATATTTCACTCCCCATTAGCTTATTTTGTTTACTGTAAATCATTAGCAAGGAAACGTTTGAAGGTTGCTAATGTTACGATTGTAGCTTATCACGTTCAGACACCGGTCCCCGTACGATCATAGAAGTTAAACAACGCCGAGCCTTGTCAGTACCCAGATGGGTGACCGCTTGTGAATGCCAGGTGCTGCAAACTTGGATGTGCGGTTGGTGTTAGTTACTGTCATATATTGTTTAAACACCGGTTCGTGTCCGATCACTGAAGTTAAGCAACGTTCAGCCTAGTCAGTTCCTAGATGGGTGACCGTTTGGGAATACCATATGCTGTAAGCTTGGGTGTGTGAGTGGCGTGTCTTGCGGCCACACCATGATGAAACATCGGTTCCAATCCGATCACCGAACTATTAAGCAACGTTAAGTCTGGTCAGAATCTAGATGGGTAACCATTTGGGAATACCAGGTACAGTAAGCTTGGATATTCAGGTAGTGTAATGGATAAAAGCTCAGAATGAGAAATCTGAGAACCGAGTTCGAATACTAGCCGGGTTCGTTACATTCACTTACACGCAAATACTCATACCAACACGCCGTGGGCCATCGCGGTAGGGTAAGGACCCATTCATACCTGTGGATCTGGAGAAGGGCTACGTACAATCGACGACCTTCATAGGCTGAGAAGAAGAATGTTTCGAATGGAAACAGTGAGAAAAGATGCAGAATATTAAGAACGTTGGTTAAAGAAATGAAAGCAATCAAATCTACGATATTTTAAGTAAATATCACAAAGGTCATACATAAAGGTATATGAAAACTGATTTTTCAATAGTAAATTTTAGTGTTGAATGTAGAGATCTACATTGAGATAGACCTGATGGCTGGGCTAGAGTCTAGATCTTTCACGGAAATAGTCAACTAACATGACTTAGAAGAGGCAGGTGGAAGAAGGATTGGAGTTAGTATTTTAGGTCGTAAAATTATCGGTCTCTTCAAAATTGATCAAAGTACTACGATAAATGTAAAGAGTTATTGTAATTTCTCGAACAACACTATATTGATTGGTCGTTTTTGTTTCGCGGAATATTAACCTCTATGGATTATATTTTGGGGATAATAATGGTTTTAGAGATACAGGATACTAATTAATCGATAGCTGGAGGAGAAGAGGTGGATTCGTACCATTCCTAAGGATATTTGCATGTATATGAATATAACGAACCCAACGGGAATTGGAACTCAAAATCCCGATTAACAATTCTGAGCCAATATCTATCAAAACCCTCTCAAATCTAACTTTAAGCTAAAGAGCATATTCATGCATGGCAATGGTCTTTCGTATTCTATTAAACTATTTCCCACTCGCAAAAAAGAAATGAAATCAATGACACCAATTTAATGGAATAGTATCTCCAGATCCAATACAAAACGCCACTTTATGAGTCCTGAAACCCATTAGGGTCGTAGGAGCACCGCTTGTACGGTAGGTATAGCAGCAGTAGCGTGTCTAGGACGGAACCAATCCTTTTTCAAATCGGTTTTGGACTTCAGAGTTTCCCCTTTTCTTTGCTGCCTCAATTCAAGAGAGTCTAGTCCTCCAAACTATTTAACCCATAACTGGGGGAAGAAATGGATTCATACCATTCGAAAGGACATTTGAAAAAAAAGTAAACGTAATGAACTCAGCCATAATTCGAACCCGAATCGCTAACTCGAACTCTAACCTAAACCCGAACCTTAACCTGAATCGCTAACCTGAAACCGAATCGCTAACCCAAACCGCTAACCCGAACCCAAACCGCTAACCCAAACCCGAACCGCTAACCCAAACCCGAACATCCTTCGAAAAGATAGAAAAATGAGGGCCCATCATTAAAAGAGATGTATATGTCAATAATATTCAAGCAAAGAAGGTCTTTATGAAGTAATAAAAACGGCTGCAAGTAATAAAGTTACAAAAAATCAATTAATCAGTTGTGAAAGACTGATGAAAAGTTATAGAATATCAAGAACCCATGTAATTAAAATCATAACTTACTCTGATATATAAACTATTGTATTAATTTAATAAAAGTTTCTTTGTCTATATGTTGTATTTATTTTTTTAATCATTTCACCCCAGACGAAGCGATAAAGCCACAAAGATGCAATGGGTTACTGAGAGTAAAAAAAAAAAAAAAAAAAAAAAAAAAAAAGGATGAAAACCTTGTATCGCCAAAAACATGATATCAATATTTTTAATAAGAATATATATCTTATGATCTGAAATTCAAATGATTTAGGAACCTCCAAAGAAAAGCGATACCTAAGATTTTAAAAAGATGAAAAATCTTTCTTGCAGCTTTTATCTTAGTTTTAATTTCAAGCTAATAGATTACATTTAATATTTCCAATAAGCAAAATACTTTGCTATATTTCAAACCGAATTTAAATTCATCGGAATATTTCTTTTTTTTTTTTTTTTGAAATCGTTAAAATTGTTAAAAATCAGCCACATTACCAAATCTGTCAACACAGTATGATCTTTTTGTTAAAAAAAATCTTTCAAAAATAAAATATACTTTTATAAAACTTTATTTGGGAAAGATTATCTGATTTAAAGTTTAATTAATCCGATTTGAAACATTACTTTTAGTTTAAAATATTGTAGAAAAGCACATTTTAACACGAGGGTGGGTGTTTTTATGAAACGTTGACACGTTTATCGATAGACTTTCCTTGGGAATTTTTTTTCTATGGAGGACATAATTTTTAACTATCAAGTAATCTCTAAAATTTAGGAAACTATTCTCCGTAATTTAATGTTTTATTGGATTTTTGCACTTTGACTTTAAATTTACTATAGTATTATTTTCTGATAATGTCGTGTATGGACATCCATATTTGCAAAAATCGGCCCACAAAAATTTAAAAAAATTCTTTTTAAAATATTGGCTGTCGATGAATTAATTAAGTTTTTCAATTCATGATTTGTAAATATAGTTTTTACTTAATAACAATATCACCTAACCTCTACAAAGTATGGCAGAATGTTAAAAGATTTAAAACTTTATAAATTATTATAATTAAAATAAAAAAATTAAAACAATTTTTGTAGAAATTCATCATTTATCGAAAATGTTTTTCTACAGGCAATAATGTCCCTATCTTATACATAAAAGCAGTTAAAAGCTTTTTTAATTAAATAATGTCTTAGTTTAATTGCATTTTTTATTTCTCGATTCAGAGAAGATTTTCGATAACTGGGGGTTCTGTTTTACAAAAAAAAAAAAAATAAAAAAATAAAATAAATAAATAAATAAAAAATAAAAAACAAAAACAAAAGAAAAAGATTTAAATTCTCCTAGAACTTGTGCTTATAACTAAATTTAAGCATTAAGCATGAACATTAAGCGGAGGGTAACAGATGTAAAAATATATTTTTTACAAAGATTTTTCTAAAAAAGAAACGTTTCAAAAATAATTTAATTCATTTGTGAATAAGTCAGGAAAGTTTCATTAAAATCCTACAATATTAAGAGAACAGAAGAATTTCCAAAATCAACGTGTTTTTCACTGCAAAAAGAATCTAAAATTTCCCATACTAATTTTTAGTCACCCACTACGCAAGAAAAACTAAATTTTTAACCAAACTTTTGAAGGTTCCAAAAATTCTTTCAACTTAATTATAGCAAAGATTTTGACGATAAAACTTTGTTTTTATTAAGTTTAGAGCATTTTTTCCTCATGGTATGCTCATTTTATAATGAATCTTTGGATATCTTCTACATATATTTATCATATAAATATATACTGAAAATTTTGCCAACATTGGTTGTTTAATCATTTTATTGTGAAAACATTGACTTGTGTAATAAAATCTGACAGTGTCTATTACACTGATATCTTCTTAAAAGAATTCTAACCTCTCTAGAGTGATATGCTTTGAGCAAACATTTGTTTATATTTGGCAAATCTTGTTTATATTAAATAATTAAATCCACCGCACGGACTCTAAGTGTAAAAATCTAGACGACAGTGAAATCTGAAAATACTTATGATTCATTTAATAAGAATATGTTCTATCATTACGCTCTGGAATAAGTGCATCAGATACGACAAGTGGAATACTGACAAAACCATAAATAATGAATATAAACAACATAATCGGTGAATGTAATAAAATTGTCAAGAATGAATACAAAAATAGGCACGGCAGAGTAGGAACAGTCATGTACGGAGAACTGTGCAAATGACTTTGGTTCGATTATGGACACAAGTGATATCTTCACATGTTTGAAGGATGAGATAGGCAAGGCACGTCTTTAGCGTACTGCTCTCTCATTCAATAATGATGATGATGATGATGAGATGCAGGAAGTGTATCCCTAAGTTCACAGAGAAGTCATGCGAGCATTCACAATTGTCAGTAGTAATGGCTCGGGAATGCCCACGTTAAAAAGGCCTTGTGCCACATGACACCCTCGTGGGGGAGTGACTGAATATCGTCAGTAGTCGGGAACGAGCAAGTGAAGCACATATGAGATGGATTCATCTTGACTGACAAGCGTTTGGCGAGCAATCGCCCTGACCCATGAGTGGATTCACATAGACATTGCAGTACCTTGGGATATGATCACCGTGAAGGAAGAGTAGACGAACATACGTAGGTACCAAGACCTGGCAAGTCATATCATAGAAATATACCAAGTAGCAGCAGTTCAAATAATAATAATAATCTCGATCTACTTAGGAAGCTGTGGAACTTTTGGAACGTGAAAGTGGCTGTCATGCCAGTCGTTATCAGAGTGCCAGGAAGAGTTCTGATGAGGCTAGAAAGAAAAAGACGGATTGGAAATTTGAGGGAGGTTGGAACCTTCCGGATGACAGAATCATTGAAAACAGTTCCAACTACAAAGATGAATGATGGGGTATTGAGGAGACTTGCTGTAAATTATTCTTTACAGAAATCCACCCGTAAATATTTAATCACTTACTGAGTTGGCAGCATCCATATGATGGCTTTATTGAAATCAGCTTGAATACTAAGAAGAGTGCTAGAGTATTGAGGAGACTTGTTGTCACTTAATCTCGAGTGTGAATAGAAATTTCACGGTTTTCTTATTTTAATATTCTGATGAATCTTAATTCTTAAGTTAATGATTGAGTAAACTTATGACGAGTTCTTCGACAATAAAATATCCGTAGAACTTCTCATATCGCATCATTAAATATTTCAATTCAACAAATTTAACAAAATATTGCAATAACAATCATAAATATGAATGCTGGTCGTTATTTTAAGAAGTGGGTACAAACGAAAAGTTTTCTCACTGAAACCAAGTAGTGTCCGTTCCC